ACTTTTCCTTTTCCCAGGTCCATGGTCCTCTTAGTTGTCCAAGCCCGATATTTACTGCCGTTAGCCCCTTGAACCAGAGAYCTTTTATTTGACAGAGGGCCCAATGGGGTCTTAAGGGCTGAATATATTGCCCCTGTATCCACTTCAAAGTTTACTGGGGTCCCCTCCACTTCAAAAGTTACTTTGAGCTCGGGGAGGGGATCCGAGCCCCGACTTTCCTAGTCATCCTCCAGAATCAGAATGGCTGGCTGGCATGGCTGTCTCTTTCTAGRGCAATCTTTGGCCCAGTGACCTTTTTCTTTACAGTAGGCACATTGATATGAGGCCAGGGGTGGCCTCTGGTGTGGGCCCAGGTATCCCTTCCTGTCTCCCTGTTTCTTAATTTCTGGTCTATTTGCTGTTGTGACCAGGACCTTAGTCAACGCCTCAGTCTGTCTTTTGCTTCTCTCATCCTCCCTTTGCTCCCTTTCTTTCTCCATCCTTTGTTCCTTCTCTTCCTCAGTTTCTCTCTTATAGTATACCTTCTTGGCTTCTCTGACTAAATGTCTCAAAGTCATATCTTGTAATCCATCTAAGTGTTGTAACTTTCTTTTAATATCTAGGACAGCTTGCCCAATAAAGGCCATTGTGACAGATGCCTTTTGATCCTCCTCTGCCTGAGGATCAAAAGGAGTATATCTCCTATATGCCTCCATACTTCTCTCTAGAAACATAGAGAGAGGTTCATCAGGCCCTTGAATAATCTCTCTTACCTTGGCCAAATTAGTCAGTGGCCTAGTGGCCGCTAGGAAACCCACTATTAGAACCCGGCAATAAGTGGACAGATGCTCCCTACATTCAAAGGTGTTGGGGTCCCAGTTGGGTYGGTTCAAGGGAAAGCCTGCTTCGATTATGTTGGGAAGTTGTGTCGATCACCCATCTGGTCTGAGGATATTTTTTCTAGCTTCCAGGAGGATTCTCTCTCGTTCCTCTGTCATGAAGAGAGTCCCTAGGAGTTGTTGGCGTTCATCCCAAGTAGGGTGGTGTGAAAACATCAATGACTCAACCAGACCTGTGAGCCGGGTGGGGTCCTTGGAAAAAGGGGRATTGTTATTTTTCCAGTTATATAAGTCTGAAGAGGAGAAAGGCCAATACTGGTAGGTTTGCATTTTTCCCCCATGGCCATCGTCAATCATTGGCCCGTAGGGACAGAGGGGGAACATCACGAGTGCTTCAGGGTTTTCAATAATTCGCCCCCGGTGAGTTCCTTTAGCCAGGCCAGCTTCCTCCGGGGGAGGAGGGGCTGTGTGTATGGTGGAGGAGTCATCTAGAGGGCGCTGGGCCAGCTTAGCTTCCTCCAATGGCGGAGAGGCTGAGTCAGMAGCAGGGGAATCACTTAGAGGGTGTTGGGGGTTGGGGGACAAGGACAGGGGATAAGGAGGGTGAGGAGAGTCCAGTAGAGTCAAATTTTGAGACTCAGCGAGAACAGAGGGTGGAGGAGGAGGAGGAGCAAAGGGTTTGAGAGATAGAATTGTGGGAGAAGGAGTAGGAGCGGGACAAGGAAAGGCTTCACCTATGGAGGAGGAGATTCGCAGAGGTCCTACAAAGTTAAGATATACGGCTGTTGATCTGGATGGCTATGTGGYCCTGGCTGAAAGACAATATCTCTGACTTTTTGTATTAGTGGGAAGTTGAAAGATCCTTCTGGGGGCCATCCGACTCCAAAGGTGGGCCATTCTGTGGCATAGAGAGTCTGCCAGGTTTGGTGTTTTACTGAAAAAGAAAGATTCTGAGCCCTTAAGCGGACTTTGGTGCAGTGATCAAGGGTCAGGGACAGACGCGTTGAAGCTCTCTGTCACATAATGAAAGATACAGAAACAGTGAAAGCAACGACACAAGACACAGACAAGACAAGACAATAAAGACAGACAATGGATGTCCAACACTGAGATCAGGACTGAGTAGCCVGCAAAACCCGATGGGCTGGCAATACCGAATCCAAAACAAAATATCACCGAGTAAAGGAGACTATTGTTCCTCGATTTCCTGAGTCCTCTGGGGCATCCCCCAGGGACATGGCCTGTGGCTCTGTGACGCGTCTGTCAGCCACCGTCGGAGAGAGCTCATACTCTTCACCGATAGCCACTTTTCCAAGCCCTAACCTGAAACCTGAAACCAGAAAGAGGCGCCTTACTTACCCCAAGAGGAGCCTGTTGGGGTCTTTTGTCCGTCGCTGCCGGATCTCGGTGGAACCTCCAGATGTAAAGGTCGGGCGAGAGTCGGAGGAAGAGACCACCAAG